GATTGACCGACACATTATAACGCCCCTACGGCTGAAAGGGCGAGCATGTTTTGTGTGACAGGGATTCGAACTCGAGACCCGCAGATTGTGAGTCGAGCGCCCTAACCACCTGGCCATGCCGGGCCTATAGAAGTATTAAAATTATGGTTTAGTATATTTATTAAGTTTAATGAAAATAATATTAGAAGTATTCGTATTTGACACCATTCTGGAGTGAACGACAACAAAAATTCATCTTCATTAGAGGAATTTGAAGTGTTCTCTACCACAAATAATAAAGCAACCGTCTAGAAAATTTTACTGCAAACATAGCGTGTGGGATAAGTGCATAGCAATACATTTGTTGGTTCTTCGTCAGACTTTCATTACTTAAATCCATAACAATGAAAACTTTCGATTAATGGAAAGAAATAATTCGGATAAGCAAATGAATGACATAAGCAACTAGTTAATATAAAATGTGGACAAACACACATAACAACCATTTTCATTTAATTATGACCATGCCCGCATTAAGGTAATTTGAGGCCCTTGAATAGGGTACAAGCAAATTTGAAGTTAATTATAATTAATGCATATTAAGTTAATTACAGAATATGAGTTAATTATTCGAATTAAATTAGAATATGATGCATCTAACTTTTAAGGACGATATGTTAAAATTGAACGATTATAATAATAATTATTTACTTGTACAACATGGCAAATAAGAATGAATTAGGTACATAAAAAAATATAGTTATTGTACAACATTATGGAAGCATACCAAAACATTACCCTGAAATCGTTTTTTTCCTTGCTTTGGCGGAAGCAAAATCTCTAATTACATCTTCATAATCTATTTGCCTAAGTAATGTCCTTTCTATTGTGAGAAAGGAAAGAGCATTTAAGCGTTTATTTAACATTGAAGCACGCAATTAATTTTTTACTCTAGCCATTTTAGAAAAAGCTCTCTCTGCAATTCGTGGCGGGTAGGCACAAATATATTCTTAATGCCACGTCAACATTAGGAAAAACAAATTCGAGTTTATTTTTTCTGATTACTTTGATGCATTGTTAGGCGGATGGTGTTTCACTATCAACAAATTTCGCAAACTGTACCATTTTATCGGGAAAACAGTTGTCTATATCTGGAGAGTATATGACTCCCAATCTTTTAGCTGCAGCAAAAATTTCAGTCTCATTTAAATTTTTGAAATTAGATAGGAAGCCAAACTTCATTTCTGTCGCTTTATAGGCAGCAAGCCAATTTTCCAAATACATTTGTAACTTGTGAACTACCGGTATAAAATTTTCTTCGCGAAACTTCTGAGTTCCAGATAAACTAATTTCACCTTCAGAAGTCTCATCATTTGCCAGCTTTCTTTTCCTCTTTCTAGAAATCTCACTTCTAAACTGTTCTACTACTATATTTGAAAGCTGATGAGCTTGAATTTCGATTATATCGAATTCTACACATAGTGAATTTACATATTCCTTCAGCGATTGGATAAACTTTAGAGCAGTAGACAAATCAAGGCTCTTTTCTTGAAACTTAGTACTTGTAGCATCAAATCTTCGAAGGATTGTATATCAAAACACTATCATAAAAGCAAAATCTAACGTTCTAGACTGCTAAAGTCAAACATTTCTCTAAATGAATATAAAGTACTAAAAGGGATGAAAGTATAATTTTAATAAAATCTGACAAAAGTAACGCTGTTGTTATCATGGATCGGATAATATAGTAGCAAAAGATGCACATACTCTCGATGAGTCATCTCATTTCCAGAAAAATTGAAACTAACCTAACCCCTTCTAAAGAAAAAGAATTAAAATAATAAGTAATAATAATAGACAAACGTGTATTTATAATGCATTTGTTACGCCTCCAGTCGTTAGTTGATTTTCCGTAACTTCGTTCCGACGAAACTTTAGCGACACAAGTCCTTTCTTAATAAAACTGGTTTATTCTTTCAGAATACAACTTTACGATACACTCAACTTCAACAGTCGCGCTATAACAAACTATAATTCACTTCAACAATACGTCTCTCTCTCTGACTGCAGTTCAATTACTCATTACCTACACACACATTGTTTTCGTCACGTTGTGGCCATCTTATATATACCAGACTACTCTATATCTAGTAATCTCCCGACAATTCACGAAGATTCGAGAGAAGTGGCGTGACACTAGTCACGTGACCTCGCTGACGCAACACATTTTACACATTCATGAATAGTCAAAGGTGATAATGCAACACATATTTATTAATTTTCTGTTTTGTGTGCATGAGTGTCTATGTGTGTAAATCTGGGAACAGTTTATGCTTTCTGTAATTGCTCCCTCCCTACTCTTCCCACACACAGATACATAACTTATTTGTTTATTTCTAATACTCTACTACATAAACATAGGAGAATTCAAGGGAAAAGGTCCGAGTTATTTTGCTTTTTTGTGTTTATTTTCTGTCACTGTCCCATAAGAGTATAAACACGCGCATGTAATCAATCGCCAATGAGCCGGTTAAATATGCATTTCAATCTGAAATAGGCTTATTCAAATGCAATTTACAAGAGCTAGTGGTGAAAAATGTAAGTTGAGGTTTGTTGTGGTATTCTCAGATTACATTAGTTACGCGCAAGTATCACATAGGTCCCAGGTAGTTAGGGCGCTCGACTCATAATCTGAGGGTCGCGGGTTCGAATCCCCGTCACACCAAACATGACATCCTACGCCTTTGCCTGGTCCCAAGTCCAGGATGAGAAAAGGGGAGGCTAGCAACTCCACCCCGTAAAAAACAACCTGCTACAAGTAACACCTTCAGTTGGCGAGGTGTTATTGCGGCCCGATGCTCCACTGGGAGTTTACAGGAATAAACAAAAAATCACATAGGTCCCATTTATAACGAGAGATTCATGAGGGATAATCACAGAGTAAATCTAAATTTGACAAACAACTCACCTTTAAGCTAAAATAATAAACTGGACAACAATTTTTATTGTACAGAAAAGCAAAGCAAAAAATAAAAATAAAAACGGGGTGCATAATTGCATAAGACGTTGGGCAATCATATTCTTAATGGACCTGTGAACTGATCAATAGCTTTCTTCGCTGGAGATATTGAACTATTTAAGTCGATAACAGAGCAAGAGTTTTTGTATTCCAACTAAAACCAATGTTTATAATTAAACAGGTAACCTCGGCTTTACCCAGAAATGATATGCTTTACCACATGACTGGTCATTCTCAAACAACAGACGAAGGCTGTAACCTCTAGATATCATTCACTCGGCTGGCAAATGACATTGCTTTTTGTACACAATGTATGAAATTTCAATAACATTCCCATTGGAAGAGTAGATACTATTTGCTAGAGAGTAGCAAAGAAAATAAGAATTTGAGAAGAGATGTGTGGATTAATTATATCTACTGCACCTTCTTCCTCTCTTGCGACCTGTCAAAGTAAAAACCTCGAACCTAGTCACCATGGGTATTGTCTTCACCAAGGAGATAAAAACACTCACACCCAAGTAATGCTATATAATTTTGTTTGGTCTTTCCTTGATAAATTTGTCTATACAGATATATTCACAATCTACTGATAGCATTATGGGTTATCTATTCCCACACAGTGTAAATGCTGAAGCACTTTGTGGGACCTTTCTTTCAAATCTTGAACTTTGCTTAATGAATGCTTGGATTTACACCAAGTCATAATGTTTATGGAACTCGTCCACAACCATATCCCAGTTACAAAGTTGCTCTTCATTCAAGTGCTTGATTGTGTCATGCACATTACTGTCCAGCCTCAAGATTAAGTATTGCATCACCTGCTCTTAAGTCCAAGCAATTAACTGCTTGAAATACTTCAAGAAATGATCGAAGTTTTCCTTAGACACATTTTTGTGGTTTATTTTCTCCATTCTGCATAATTAGCTCTTTGATTAACTCTTTTATTTCTTCTATACTATTGTTAGGGGGAGTTGATGTTTCAATACTAAAGGATCTGATATTCTCGTATCTTCAAGATAGTTCCTTTAGTAGATCATCTCCAATTTTAATGGATTCCAAGTTCCATCACCAACTGAAGAGCCACATTTATAGATGTACACCTTCTTTGCTTCAGCCTAATTATCATATCATTGTCTGCTTTAGCATCTATAAATTGGTCACATGCTAGTAAATCCACCACTTCATGAGAAGCATCTGGGTAAGACAATTGAGAAAGTCTTTCTAAATCTTCCACAAGTTCAGCTAAGTTCTTTTTTTTCCTTCATACCCTATTCTAAAACTTTGTTCTGGATACTTGCTTCTGGTGTGTCACTCCAAACATATTGGATAAGACATCTAATAATGCTTAATAGTTGTTAAAACTCTCAGCTGGAAGGTTACTTAATGTTGTAAAAATTGGTCTTTTTAAATGGTCAACAAGATGAATAGCTTGGTGTTCACAATTCCACCCATTCACTCTGAAAATGATTTTGAACTGAGTCTGGCATATCTCTTGTGATACATTCCCATCGTAGTCTGTTGTTTTCTCTATTGGGTTTTTAAAGATATCCTTGTCCATACAAAAAGGAATCACACCCAATCAAAGAAAAGTCATCCATGCAATGTAGCTCGTTGTCTAGCCTGCAATTTCATAAAAACCACTGACTCTTTACCCAAAAAGTATAACCATAAACACTTCAAATTTTCTAAATAAATAACTTGCACAACACAAAATACCATTACCTCATGCTGTGTAAAAAATGCAATCACCATTATATAGGACAGACCCAAACGACCCTTAGAGAGCATTCAACAATCATAAATCTTCTATTAACACCAAAAAAAACCTCCCTTTTGCCCAACACTTTAATCAATCTGGTCATTCTATTAATGATGTAACTCTCATAAGCATTGAAACTGATTTCAAAACTAACACTGATAGAGAGATAAGAGAAGCCTATTAGATAGCAACTTTAAATACTTGTTGCGTCATCGAGATCACGTGACTATTCTCACGCCCTCTACTTTCTAGAACTATCCTGTACT